TAACGCGCTCTCATCCCCATTAACGATGAGGCCTTAGGGGAAGCGAGGGAGGTTCAGATGAGCCGTCTGCAAGCCAGCGTGAAGCCCCCCAGCGCCCTCTGCATCTCCGCTTTCCTCCTCTTTTTATTTACTTTTTATTACGGAGACTTTCACACACACGCAAACGTAGAATAATAAACCACCAGGGGCCCGGCCCCAGGTTCACTGCCCCCCACCCACCGCCATCCTCTCTCACTGCCGGTCCCTTCCAACTGGATTACTTTGATGTAGATTCCAAATATCGTATCATTTTAGGTGTAGGCATCTCAGAGTATATCCCTACAGTAAGTGGCATTCCTAACCCACCAAGGCCCCCAGACAAGCTTGATCGCTCGGCTTGTGAGCACCTCAACCTCCTGGTTTCTACTAACGTAGGAACTTCCCCGCACAGGCCCCTCAACCACGGCAGTGACGGCTGGTCCCAGAGCACCTGGGTGAAGAGACTTCCAGTGATTCTTAAAAAGTCAAGTCTTGCCCTGGCTGGTTTTGCTCAGTGGATAGAGTGTTAGCCTGTGAACTGAAGGGTCCCGGTTCAATTTCTGGTCAAGGGCATGCGCCTTGGTTGCAGGCTTAATCCTGGGCCTGGGTCGGGGCACATATGGGAGGCAGCCAATCAGTGATCCCTCTCACATGGATGTTTCTCTCTGCCTCTCCCCTTCCCTTCCACTCTTTCTAAAGTGTGGACCAGGGCCACTTAGAACACCTCTTTGTGTCTCTGCATCATGCCTGCAAGAATGAGCAATTATCAGACAATTCTAGAATTGACTTGTACTGTTTGGTACAGATTAAAAATTTATTTTCAAAGCTAATTCTACAGTTTTATATATTCAGTCAAAATTAGTGTTCAAATGAATAAATTCTTTCCTCACTTAACAAATAGCCTAAAAGTGCAGAAGAAAATCATTATTAGACATTAATGATTGCTAATACAATATATAACATTTTACTATTAAAAAAGACATTAGAGCCCTAGCCAGTTTGGCTCAGTGGTTACAGCATCATCCCTTGGATTGAAGGGTCCTGGGTTCAATTCTGGTCAAGGGCACATGCCTCGGTTGCAGGCTCAATCTCCACCCTGGTTGGGGCGTGTGTGGGAGGCAACCAATCGATGTGTCTCTCTCACATCAATGTTTCTCACTCTCTGTCTCTCCACCTCCCTTCCACCCTGTTTAAAAATCAATGGAAAAAATATCCTCCAGTGAGGATTAACAACAAAAAAACCGAAAACAACAAAAAAGAGGGAAACGTACAAAAAAAGACATTAGAGTTTTACTTCCAGATATGCTGGACTAAGACCCTGCAGACAACCTCCGTGTAGAAAAACTCTAACACCAGACACAATGCAAAACAACTAGTTGCAGGCACTGGAGACGGAACACAGCAGCGGGGTCAGGGGGAACTCACACACACGGAAGGAGAGGTGGGCGCTCTAGAGTGCGTTCCGTCTCTCCATGTGCCACCTGGAGCTGGTGGAGTCTGCCATGGGGACACCTGTCTTGCAAGAAATGAGCTGGAGAGCAGAACCACCAACTCTGTGCCCATAAACCACGCGTGGCCAAACTGAGGCCAGAGCTGCCGCCCAAGAAAAAGAAGTGCAATTCAAGCCCAGCCAGGAAACTACCTGCTAACACCAGAGAAACAATGCTTATCAGAGAAAACTAACAGAGTCCAGAATCACCGCAACTTCATGTTCACAACATGTAGAATATGATTTTTAAAAAATCACTCAAGAATCAAGAAAATGAAACACATTCTTAAAGAAAGAAAAATCAACAGTCAGGCCCAAGATGAATCAAAGTTAGAACTTACAAGGATGTTCAATTGGCCACATGAAATGAAACAAAGCATCCTCTTTAATGCACAAGAAATCTCAGTACTCTTAATGGGAAGGCTCAGTAGATAAATAGAATAATAAAAGAGAGCCAAGTAGAAATTTTAGAACTGAAAATATAAATTCTAAAGCACAAATTTCAATGGCTAGACTTAACAGTCACATTGACCTGACAGGAAAGAGTAAATTAACTTTAATATAGATAAATAGAAATTACCCACAGTGAGGACCAGAGATAATTTTTTAAAAATAAAGTTTCACTGATGATATTAAAAGATCAAATCTATGTGTAACTAGAATATCAGAAGGAAAAGAAAAAGAGAATGGGCACAGGATACATAAAATGTAACTCATTAGTAGTCAAAGACTTAAATGTAAGAGCTGAAACTATTAAAGAAGAAAATATTTTGTGGCATATAGTTAGGCAAGGATTTCTAAAGCAGACTTCTTTTGCACAACTCTAAAAGATAAATTTATAAATGGACTTCATTAATATTAAGAACTTTTCCTCTTCAAAAGACATGTTTAAAAAATAAAAAGCAAGCCATAGATTGTGAGAAAACTTTTGCAAAAACATGTACTGGAAAAGGGCATTTGTTCAGATTGTACTGGGTAAGAGCTCTTGTAGCTCAATTATGAAAAGACATACAACCCAATTTTAACACGGGCAAATGATTTGAACAGATATTTCACAAAAGATATACACAGAGACAGCAAGCATGTGAAAAAATGCTCAACATCACTAGTCATCAGATCAATGCATAGTAAACTTACACAGACCCACTAGAATGGCTAAAGTTAAAGGCTGACAATACCAAGTGCTAACAAGGATGTGTAGCAACTAGAAATCTCATTGCTACTGAGGATAAAAGAAGGAACAGTCCTTAATTAATTAATTTATTTATTTTCACTTTCAAATATATTTTTATTGTTGATAGTATTGCAGATATCTCCCACCACCCCCCTTTAAGACCACACCCATCCCCCCAGGTCTTCACTACCTTAACTGCCTGTCCATGGACTATGCATATCTATACTAATAAAAAGGTAGTATGCTAATTAGACCAGGAGACATTCTGGATATCCTTCCGGACAAAGCCATTGTGGCAGGGCTGGAGCAGAGGTGGTTAGGGGTGATCAGGCTAGGAGGGTGGGCATTTGGTGGTGATCAGGCTGGCAGGGGCGCCAGTTGGAGGCAAGCAGGCCAGAAAGGGGGACAGTTGGCAGTCAAACAACTGGTCGACCGGCCACTATGACATGCACTGACCACGAGGGGGCAGACACTCAATACAAGAGCTGCCCCCTGGTGGTCAGTGTGCTCCCACAGCGGGAGCGCCCTCAGGGCTCACGACAGCTGGTGAGTGCAGTGGCAGTGGTGAGAGACTCTCCTGCCTAAGCAGCAGCGATAAGGAACAGCAAGCCAAGCAGTAGGGAATGAGCAGGCAGGCCATTAAGAGTGAGGGGTCCTGGATTGTGAGAGGGCGCAGGCTGGGCTGAGGGATCCCACCCACTCCACACACCCCTCCCCCCCACACGAATTTTGTGCATCAGGCCTCTAGTAAGTATATAAGTTCTTTGGTTTGTCTCTTCTCTTCTCCCCCAACCCCACATTGAGGTATGTCAGTCTGAGGAACTGCCCTTTAGAAGACAACATGGCAGTATCTTATAAAGTAAACATGAGTTTACCACTTGGCCTAGTAATGCCAGTCCTAGTCATTGCCACAAGACGTGAAAATGTGTCCACAGGAAAGTGTGTATGTCAATTATTTCTAATACCCAAATATGGACAGCCACATTCATAACATCTCCAAACTAAAGCAATCCAAATGTCTATCAATTGGTAAATAGATTTTTTTAAAAAATAGTGGTATATCCAAAGGACTTGTATGCATGCATATTAGCATAACCAATGGACACAGACACTGGGCGGTGGGGGCTGGCCCTTGGGGGCAGGAGTGGGGGGGGGGGGGCGTCAATCAGGGGAAAAAGAAGACACATTTAATACTTTAAACAATAAAAAATAAAATAAAATAAAACAGTGGTATACCCATACCATAGGATATTACTCTGTAACAAAAATAAATAAAATGTGTGCATCTTCAAAATGTTGTTCTGAGCAAAAGAAATCAAACACAGAAGTGTGTGTCTGTGTAATTCCACTTGAATAAAATCCTAGTGACTCTCAGTGGTGTCCTGAGGCCGTGGGTGAGTGGAGGGAAAGGGCACGAGGAGCCCTCTGCAGGGGTCCCGCTCCCTGGACGGTGCGTGGCTTGCTCCATCGCATGGTAACAACAACCACCAAGGCCATCAGCGGCACACTGAGGCTCATGAGTGCTGTTGTGTGCAAACAACGGCGTAACAAAACAGAATGTTTAAAAGGAGCCTCGGATAGAAGGCGAGTGTCCTGCACATCGGATTTCAGCAGCTGAGGAAGCGAGTGGAGAAAACCCAGAATAACCCAGAGACCTGGCAGGAAAAGCCCGCCTGCCCAAGACAATGAGGCTCTGTCACCCAGATATCAGAATCACAGTCTGTTCCCCGGCATTTCAGCCCGTGACTCGGGGGAGAAAAATGGACTTGAATCAAGAAAAAGAAAATGAACACCCTCTGCTCTGCGCTTTAGGTTAGACAGTGACTTGGCAAGAAAGAGCAGCGGGGAAACTGGCCCAACCGACTGACAGAGGTTCTGGTGGGACTGGAAAATAAATAAGTACGCTTCCCCGCGACTTCAACATAGAGCTGTCATCACTGAGACAGCATTTTCTGGAAAGTAATTCTTAAGCCGGTGGCATACACAAAAGACTTTACATGAAAGAGCTAGGCAACCCAGTGATCTTATCAACCCTCCTGTGTTTTGGGTTTTTTAATAAACTTTTTATTTCAGGACAGTTCAGATTTACAGAACGATTACAACGGGTTCTCCTGTACCCGCATCAATTTCCTCTGTAGTTACCACCTTCCAAGGTGTTCCTTCTCACAACTAACGAACCAAGTTTATGCCGCTCTTCAGTGCGGTTACTCAGGCTGCTTTGTTTGCACCTGATGTCTCTCTCTGCCCCAGGATCCCACCAGGACACGGCATTTCACTGAGTCTCCTGTCTCCCGAGCATTTCCTGGTGGTGAGTCCTCAGACGCCCTTGTTCTTGGTGACGCGGACAGTCTGAGGAGTACGATCGGTGTTTCGCAGGATGCCCCTTACTTGGGCTTTGTCTGATGTTTTTCTCACGGTTACGGCTGGGATGGGCTTTTAAAATATCTTTTGCTTCATTCTTAAGTCTTAAAAGCTCTATAGCACTATTTTATACTTTGTATTATTACTCAGATAACCACTTCAATCTGGTTGCAAATGAGATGTCTGAAAGGGTTTCCGCTCCTGTAGATTCAGGTGAAAGCTTCACCATGAATCACCGGTCACACTAATCCTGAAACTCAGCTACTGTTTTATACTCTTCTGTGCAAAAAGCCAAATTAATAATCAACACTAATAAATTGAGCCTGAAATAAGATACAGTAATGAGTTCACAGCTAGTCAGTCATAACCCAACACTTGCAGAAAGTTTCCTTGATTGGGTTAACTTTGTGCACTTTAAGGATCTAATATATATTTTGAAATAATCTTACCAATCACAGGTAGATTTTTTAAAAGTTGCTTTCCAAGTGGCTCTAAGGAGTAAAGATACCCTTGGAATATGAGGAAAAACATGTCTTGATGCTATAATGTGTCACTTTCAAATGTAACCAGGAATTGTGAAAGGAAGCACGTGGGCACAGGAAGGGGAGAAAGTGAGATCCATTAGTGAGGCCCCGACCCAGGGCAGGTCCCTATTCTCATGACACAATTCACCTTGTTTCTAATGGAAAAATTCACAGCAAATTTCATGTCAGGTAAGCTCTAGATTTCTATGCAGATCTTTATAAAAGTACTAAAGGCCTGGTGCACAAAAATTCGTGCACTGGAGGGAGTCCCTCAGCCCGGCCTGCCCCCTCTCACATTCCGGGAGCCCACAGGGGATGTCCTACTGATGGCTTAGTTCCGCTCCCCATGGGTAGTGGGCTGAAGCCATAGACTGGCCTCCCTCCGCAGGAGGCAACCGGCCAATCAGGGGAAGGTAACACCCCCATCACCCCTCTGCTGCTGCCACTGCTGGCCACGAGGCTGCCTGAGCCTTGGCCCTCACAGTGGCAGCCGCCATCCTCAGCTTGCCTGAGCCTTGGGCCAGCCCACCATTGGTGGCTTGACTGAGCCTCGGGCCGGCCCTGGGCAGTAGCAGCCACCATCTGCTCCCCCAATGCACCTCCTGGTCAAGTCCCCGCCCACCCACATGCGCCTCACTGCTTATGCAGCCCCACCCACCTGCACATGCCTGCTGTGTACGCAGTCTCCTGGTGATGGGTTGTTACGGCATGAGGGCATCATGACCACATAGGCTTCTATTGGCATAGATTAATGAGTATGCCCCAGGCATGAGGTGTTTTATCCTAAAGACAAGGCCACTAGAAGTGGCACATGAGCCTCACAGCACAGGGAAATGCCCCCGACACGGCCTTGGTATAGGTCAACCAGCTCTAGTCTTTGACCTTGACCTTGGTGGAGGTCAACCAGCTCTAGTCTTTGACTGGGGAATAAACAGCTAGGCCAGTGGGCCAGCCCACATCAGAAGTGCTTTATTAGCTGCAAAAATTATTAGACTGCATTCTTGCTAAGGTTCTGCAGCACATCATTCAAAAAGGAAGGACAAAACAAAACCCCCTAAGCGCAGCCTTGGGTACACACAGCATCCACCTGGCAGATGGTCGGCCGAAGGTCCCAGCCCAGCAGGGTTCTGGGCAAAGACTCGTGAGCCTGCAGACTTATGTCACAAGAAGGGCCTCTTAGTAAATGCTACAGCCCTCAGATGCCCCACAGAAGCTCTGCCAACAAAAGCCACAGGTGGCAGATTTCTTCTTAAACTCAGCAGGCACTGGTCTGCGGCTCAAGTCCGCTTCCTGAAGGTGGAGCCTGTGGGAGGGGTGGGTCTAGGGACCGAGCAGGAAAGGTGAAGGCCACCTTTTAAGAGCAGCCTCTCCCCTGACTTTCCTTTTGAATCCCAGCCCCTTTCTATCTCAGTCCAAACTAGGAGACAGTAACAAGCAGTGCTGTCTTCAAAGGGCGCCTCCCCTCCCCGCATTTCTAAGAGGTGGGGAAGAAACCACCGAACCAGAAGGTCAAATGGGAAGGGCCAGAAATCCCATCTGAGGAAGAAGACAGGCTTCCTAGCGCAGCAGGAGGCACAGAGCGGGTGGAAAACCATTCCACCCAGTCTCCTCTGGGAGTGGACCAGCCCGGAGGCCTACCTGCTGAGAGCTGATGCTGATCGGCTGCTTCAGAATGATCCACGTGACACTCTCCAGAAGCGGCGGCACGGTGAGAGACCCTGGGTACGTCCAGTAATCCCAGGACGGAGGCAGCAGCGACAACGGGTCAAAATTCGTGAATCGAGTTTGTTTACCCTGGGGCAGGGGAGAGAAAGCCACAGATGACAAGGGGGCACTTTCACAGACCTGGAGAAATAAGCAGGCAGTGACATCAGATTTCACTGGGAGAAGCCCCTTTTGGTCCCGGCCCCAGCCGCACAGTTATTTAGTGCCTGCTGTTTGTACTTTAGGAAGAGTACCCGCCTTCATCTAAACATGTTAGAGGAAGTCGGGCATCGCTAAGATTCATTTGAAAGGACAAGATTTGTTTTCATATGAGTGGTCTTTAAAATGTGTTGCAGCCAAAGGCTTATTCTGTAAAGCTCCAACAGGAACTCATTATGCATAAATAGACTTATGTGATTATTTTAGGTGATTGAAGACTTCTTCATAAACTTCAGGAGTGAGTGGTGATAGGTCGTGTCAGCTCTGTCGGTCAAGGACACGCCGGCCGCTTCAAGGAGCAGCAGTCGGCCCTGACTCAGACGTGTGTGTAAGAGAAGACGAGAGAACTCAGCGGAAAACAGGACTATATTAGTCACCAGCCACCAGGAATTAGCTTTACCTTTTCTTTAATGGAATCCAGGATGTCCGTAACCTTTTGCAGGTGGGGATTACATTCGCCGATCTGAAAACATGAAATTTCGAGAGAAGTGGTTACTGTTGCAGACAAGTCTGACTTGCTCCATTTCAGTCAGGATTTTAAATTCTTTAAAAACAAAACGCAGGCCAGCCCACAGCCAACAGTGGCTGTTCTGCAGCGCAGCTCTCCTGCCTGAAGAATCTGGATGAGGAGAGAGCACTGCAGGCTCCTTGACTGAATTAGAAGTTTGGCCCCCAAAGTGCTGGTGACAGCCTCCTGCTTCTCAGCTTTAGGGATGTTGCAGACGCAGGTGAACTTGAGGAAAGCCTGGCTTAGGCCGCCTCCATCACACCCGCACTCCGAAACCAGGTGTGGCTTCCAGACCCTCTACCCACACAGGCTATTATGACATCAAAACATTAGAGGAAAAACGTCCCCCAGATTCGGCCTAAAATAACGGGAGGTCCCGGATCAAGGCAATAGATCGTCCTGAGCCGAGTTCCTGGGAAAAAACATGTGCGCCTCTTTCCCCATCCAGTGGGTGTCGAAACAAAGAGGAACGCCCTGTAGGAATGTGGTCCCAGTAGGAGTGGGGCGGCCCCACCCACCCAGGCGTGACCACAGTGACACCTGTCTGGCCACTTGTGCAGGAGACACAGAAAACAATGGAAATGGTCAGCGCATTTGGGACAACCAACCATGTGGTGCAACTAGTGCTTCCGGAAGCGGACGGTGACTCCGCTCTGCCCCGCCCCTCTGAGCACTGTGCTGTCAGTCAGGAGGAAGGCCGGCCAAGGCTCCTCTCGGGTCTCCTCGTCACTGCAGCGCTACTGTTGCTGTTGCTAATGGACAAACATGATCAACAGACAGAGGGGGGATTGTCAGGCAAAGCTCCCAGCCCTGAGAGGAACCATAAACGTGGAACTGTGATCCATTTCAACAGGGAAACATTGGACCTACCACTGATTTGCTGTTAAAAGATGGTAGAGCCTGGCCTGCGTGGCTTAGTCCACGCGCCACAAGGTTGCAGGTTTAATTCCCAGTCAGGGTTGCGGGCTCGATCCCCCATGGGGCGCGTGCAGGAGGCAGCCACTCAATGCTTCTATTTCACTGATGCGTCTCTCTCCCCCCTTCCCCCTCTCCCCCCCCCCCCCCTTGCTCTAAAGATCAATAGGCTATTTTTAAAATGGCAGGATGTCCACTCGGCGACTGAAATCCTGCCCCGCACGGCCGAGTAATTGTCTAATGAAGCCAGGGCCCTCACCTGTAAAAACACTCCCAGGACAGCGAGTCCGTCGGGCTCGTGAGCTGCCTCCACGAAGCTGGGGTACTTGTCCGAGTTCCAGTGGACGACGTGGAGCTGAAAAGGAGAGACACGGTGTAAGTTAGATCCATCCTCAGACACATGAACGCCAGGGAAGCCTGGTGCAGAGGCTGGGCTGCACCTCCATGCATGGTTCTGCAGCCACGCCCACCATGCTCTTGGAGGCCCCAGAAAGTCCTGCCACACCCCTCGAGCCCCAACAGTCTCCAGCCACCGTTCCCAGTGACTTAGGGCCCCCGCAGTCCTGCATCTGGGACTGCAGTCCACAGCCTGAGGTCAGGCCCCACTGGCGGCAGGTCCAGGTTGGGGGGGCGGAGGCATCAGTGGGCCCCCAGGGGTGACCCTGCCACAGACGGGGCAGTAGTTCCTGGACGTGGTCAGAGGCTCACGCCCGCAGCTGAGGCCTTTCTTTGGTGTGAACGTGTATTCTCCGTACGAGTCGCTGTGTTAAGCGGTGTCCACACACCTACCAGCTTCTAGGCCTGAGTTCCGACCCCGTGTGGGGAGCAGGAGTGAACTGAACAGAGAGGCTGGGCTGGAAGCAGAGGTTGGAGGAGGACCGGTGTGCTGAGGGGAGGGCAGGGGGGACGGGGCCGGGACCAAAAGGGGCTTCTCCCACATCCCAACTTCTCCCGAGAGCAACAGCCTTCCCCAAACCCGAGGGAGCCGGTGTCCAGCGCCACGGCCGTGTCCCGAACACAGACCGGTGCACGGACGCGGCACGCACAGTCCCGCACAGGCCGCTCCTGGGGACTCCTTCCCGGCTGAGGGCTGCGCTGCGATGGGAGCCACAGGGAGCCCGGGCCACGTGACACACCCAGATGGCGGGGCCCAGATCCTGACGGCCGTGAGAGGGGCCGGCTTCGACTCGACCTCCCCAAGGGACTCCTGTGGCCCCTCAGGAGGAAACGTGAGGGTTTCACACACATTCCACCTTCCAGGTGACAGCAGAGGAAGGAGTTGGTCTGCTCAGGTTTATCCCTCCTTTCAATGTAACTGTACGTCCTTCAGGTAACTAATGTGGGGATTTCTGGATAAAGAAGGGTGACCATGCCTGGCTGGTGTGGCTCAGTGGTTGAGCATCGTCCCATGAACCAGGAGGTCACAATTCAATTCCCGGTCAGGGCACATGCCCAGGTTGTGGGTTCGATCCCCAGTGGGGAGCGTGCAGGAGGCAGCCGATCCATGATTCTCTCTCATCATTAACGTTTCTATCTCTCTCCCTCTCCCTTCCTCTAATCAATAAAAATATATTTAAAAAAAAAAAAAAAATGAAGGCCTTGGCTGGGTAAAGGGGAGAGAAAGGGAAATAACATCTATAACAGGATTTCTCAACCTGTGGGTCACGACCCCTTTGGGGGCCAAATGACCCTTCACAGGGGTCACCTAAGACCATCGGAAAACACATACATAATTACATATTGTTTTTGTGATTAATCACTATGCTTTAATTATGTTCAATTTGTAACAATG